GTTGGATGGATGGATGGATGGATGGATGGATGGATGGATGGATGGATGGATGGTGATAAGAGCTGTAAGAGCCCCCAATAAAAAGGTTTTTGGTTTTTTTTAAAAAGACAAGAACCCTGCATACAGCACCAACGGATTTAAGGGCGGGCCCAATCACAAACTTGCCCCACTTCTAAAGGACCTGCCTTGACTTCAATGACAACTTTCCAGGACCTGTCTATATCCCATTTTTCCAAGTCACTTCCTCAAAGGCTCTCACAAACTGAGACTTCTCTTTCCCAGGCACGGCTCTTTCTGAATGAGCCCTGGGGGTCTAGTGGTCACAAGTTGGGTCGCTAACCACTAGCTAGGCAGTTTGAGACCACCAGCTGTTCTCGGGAGAAAGATAGGACTCTCTACTCCTACAGAGTGACAGTCTCAGAAACCACCGGGAGTGGGGGGGGTGGCAAGGGGCGAGGGGGGGCAGTTCTACCCTGTCCTATAGGGCCGCTATGAGTCAGGACCAACTCAATGGCAGTGAGTTTGGGGTTTTTTGCTTTGTCTTCTCTTTTCCAAGCCCAAGCCCTTGACGTCCCCGCGGGACTGCCAGGGTGGCTGCTGCACCCAGCCTGTTTCCTCCCCATTAAACTGGGGCTCTTGTCTATAACTCTACTCCAGACTGCCTGCCACTACCACCCCCCTAAACCCTGGTGGATTTGTGGGTTAGGCATTGGGCTACTAGCCACAAGGTCAGCAGTTCAAATCCACCGCTCAGTCCTTGGGAGAAAGATGAGGCTGTCTGCTGCCAAAAAGATTGAGCCTTGGAAACACTAGGGAGCAGATCAATTCTGCCACCAACAGCCGCTGAGTCAGAACGGCCCAGTGGGTTTGGGTTAGGCTACACCAAGTTATTGACCAGACCAAATAAAACACGTGGAAGCGATATGTACAAAATTGAAAGTGGGGCGTCAAGTGTTTAAATTCTCAAACAGGGAAGCCCCTGGAAAGGAGAGAGGGCGTGGCTACGGAGGACCCTTCAAGCTGATGCAAACATTTGTCGGTTGCTTCCGGCTCTCCACAGCCTCCATGGAGGGCACACATGCTCACCCGCAGTCATGACCTTGCCTCTCAGACACCTGCTGAGGCCATTGCAAGTAGGGATGCTTGCCACAGAGGCTCCAGTCTCCATTACAACCTCCATACTGGCCTCTCAGCACGTGGTCCCCAGAAGCACAAAGCCTCTGGCCCTGTGCCATAGGCTCAGAGCTGCTGAGAGGTCATCCATCCCGAGTGATCCTGGGATGGTGTGACAGTTACCTAATTTCATGTCAACTTGATCAATAAGTGCAGGGGTGGAGTCTAGCCTGTCAATCAGGTCACAGCTTGATGCTGGCTCCTGGCGCCCAAGGCCTTCTCGTGAGGATTCTGGGAACTTTCCTTCTCTCTGCTTCACCTTCCTGTTGACAAGCCACGTGAAGCCACACTATGGCCTGCAAGAACCCTGGAGATGCTTCCACTGCCACTGGATCCACAAGACTGCACCCACTGGCCTGTGATCCTCCTACCTTTTGCATCATTACATGTGGTTGCATCCATCTGGAGAGGGATTCATGGACTAGTATCACACTTATGGGCTAATAATGGACTTAGGGACTTGATCTGGACTGGGCTGGGATGCTTTCTTAACATACAATTACTCTTTGATATAAAGCTCTTTCCTGTACACACATGACTGTCCCTGGATTCATTTCTCTAGCCCACCCAGCCTCACACGGATGGCATCAGATCACCCAACGACACTTCTGCCACTTTTCCTACACAGTTCAAGGTGCTCGATCTGTGTGTAAACATCTATGTTCCTGTTCCTGCTAACGTAACTCAAACAGAAACACGGGGTTCTCGTGCTCTCTAGCGTGGGCACAGCCCATTTCGCTGTGCTCTGCTTTACGGCACCCTACAGACACAGCGAGTCTTACAAGTTGGACAGCTGTGGCAAACCTGTTCTGAGCAAGTCAACTGGTGCCATTTTTCAAAGGGCACATGTTCACCCACTCAGTGTCACATTCTCTCTAAACCAAAATCTGCCACTGTCCAGTCCATTCCAAACTACAGTGACCCCAGATAGAGTCCGGAGTTCCTAGCCATATAGACAGTAAAGAGTGGAGCAGACATGCCTCAATGTTCTCCCAAGGATTGGCAGGTGGATTTGAACCATCAACGTTTGAATCCAATGTGTAAAGGGCCACATGGGGTCCTTTAAGAGCTGACTACTACCCAAAGACAAGCTAACTCACCCACTGCCGGCAAGTCCATTCTGAATCATAGCGGGCTTAGAAGGAGAGGGCAGAACTGACCCTGTGGGTTTCTGAGGCTGTAAACCTTTACAGAGCAGAAAGCCTCCTTATGCCCTCCTAGTACCTGGTAGAACTGCTGTTCTTAGGTTAAGAGCACAATGTGTAACCCCTGCCCACCTTCAAACCTTCCATGGGAAGGTTACGCCATGACAACCGCTTGGAGTTCTAGCTGTTAAACCAGGGGGGTTTGAGTCAGAATTAATTGACTCCGTGACATGACAGGTTTGGTTTGGGCTTCTTGTGTACTGGGAAACCAGGTTTACCTAACACTCTTGGTTCCCACAAGGGAAGGCCAAGTGAACCAGTGTGAACACGTGTCCGTTTCTGGGGGGTAGGGAATGTCCACTGCCCCCTTCACCATGGTCCAGCATCAAAGAAAACACATGGGAGTACAAAATATAAAATGTGTGATATGGGGAAGGGAGACAGCGGTCGGTGTAAGAGATGAAAATAATAATATAATTTATCAAGGGGTCATGAGGCGGGAAGGGAGGGGAAAAAGAGGGGCTGATACCAAGGGCTCAAAGAGGAAGTAAATGTTTAG